CCCTGTTTATTTTCAGGTGCACAAAGAAATATCTTACAATCCTTAATTGATCTGCATTCAATGACTTGGAGGACCTTAAGATCTACAACCATTTGAAATAAACCTTGTTGTCTCTTTGACGCATTCCCCGTTTCCATTCTCAATTTAACTCCTTATGCTATCTGCTGATGTTCCATATCATATCGACCAAACACGTCCACGACACAACCGAAGTTTTCAAAACAAACTAATAGGGTTTTAAAGGCGTCATTGGCCAAATCTCAATAACTGTTGTACCTTCTAACATAAAGACTTTGTACAATACCCATACCATCTCTGATCGGGGGTGTACTGGTTTTTCATACAAGGATATCAAACACTCGGCTAAAGGTATACATTTCCGTGCAGTATCACATCAGAATTCATTGTAATCATTATCCATATGAAAATAAATGTTATCTACTAACCAGGCAAAACATTTATCAGAGAGGTAGGAATAAATTGTAAAGCTGTGGAATATTAAATTTTGACGGAAATAGATAGAAATAATTTGAAATTTCGAACGATCGTAAACTGCTTTTCGCATTTTTTCCCGCATTATGAAGGATCTGGAAGAAAGGAACAATATGTAACTAGCAAACTATAAGACAACGAAAATGATTTTTATTCACAAACAGATCATCATGTAGACTTTCTATCAGTTTTTTGAAAGCAACATCATGATCCGACTGATTTGAAGTATCAGAAGCAAGTTATTTTTTTCATTTCATCCAGTAGTTAACAATGCCTGCTGAATGTTTCAGCGCCTTATCCTTGAAATTATCTATGGAGAGTAAATTCACCACTGGATAGCCTGCCTGGTAATTTGCGTCATTTAAAACATAATCGGCACGCTCAAATGACTCGAAATGCCTTAATTGTCTGATCAGGGATGTACTGGTTTTTCAGTCTACTGGTAATGCCATGGAGCGTGGTTTAAGTTATAGATATTTCATATCTTTTGGATAGTTTTGCGGTGTTTCGTAAATTATACCATAGCTTTTGTTGAAACCCCCGGCAATAACCTCACGAGACGAAGTCGAGTGAGGTTGCCGAGGGGTTTCAACAAAAAACTATGGTATAATTTACGAAACAACGCAAAACTATCCAAAAAATATGGAATATCTCTTTTAACCTATCGCATCTTTTGCTGTTTAAAATTGTATATTTCATATATTTTTGTTTGTTTACTTTAAAAATAGTTTTGATAAGAATCAGTTAAATAAGCCTTTTCGGGCTTTACACATAAAGCTCCGCCTACTTTCTAAAATAAGCACAGGCTTCTGAAACAGCGGGAAAATCAGTAAGACGAGATGTTTCGACAGAGATGGATGCACATTTACAATGGTGACGGATAACGTTACAGACGAACAAATGTTAAAGGAATTAGAAGTTCTGGATATGGACGCAAGAGACCACAGATTAAAAGTTGAACTGCAAAGGGTTAGTTTTTTTTATTTTATCAAAATGTTTGAATGTTTTAATTTTTTAATATTCATATATAATTCTGAGGAAAGTAATTTCACAAGAATCTTTTTGAGAGTTTGGATGAATCATTCTACATTTTAATTTGTACCTGAAGCCCAAGTCGTACATAAATTAAAACGGATTTCAAAATGTTCATAATTAAAATCACTTGTTTACTAGCAATAATTTACATAAAAAAGTAAGCTTCATTTAGAAAAAACCAGACGCTATCTTATTTTAACATTTCAACATTATTGTTATAACTTGAGCAACCTCGTTAAAGTCTAGATGTCAGCAATGTATAACAAATCGGGTGCGGGTCCAGGATTCTGAAAGGGGGATCTAGCAAGCCAACATTTGGAGTAATAAAATGAAAAAGTCTATGCATTTACCAACTATGAAGCTCCTTAAAAGGGGCTTGCTCCCTGCTCTCCCCCCAAAAAGCCGTCTCGGCAAATTCAAACCTATACATGTAGCTGTAAAGTGAAGCCTATGGAATACATTCCAAGTATAAATCTCAATAACCGAAAATCAACTTATATTTTCCAGTATAATATATACACATTTATATATTTTTTTTAACTTTATTTGTTTGTTTATTTGTTCTATGAGCGATTTTTTTTCATTTAAAAATATAGGACAACAGAGTTGGTGTACGTGGGTTCGATTCCCACCCTAGGCATTCATTTATATCGGCTGGTGCAAAGCGGGCAGTTTAGCTTAGTGGCCCCGCACTGACTCTGTTGTTCAAATGTCAAAAAATTCAGACAGTCAGGTCTTACTATCTTTCTTTTTCTCGAAGACCCTACACAACAAAACCATGGTATAATTGTGAAAATTATACCATAGATATCTATGGTATAAATTTCGGTTATTGAGATTTATACTCGGGTTGCATTCCCATAGGTTCCATTGCACAGCTATAGGTTAACGAAAGTTGATTCATCATCACACGCCTCGGTTTTCCCCTAATTCAAATGTATCAAAATGTATTCTTCTTGTACATGTAAAGGCTTTATAACACGATTTGTTCTTATTTAATGGAATTAGAAGTGCCCATAATTTTCCGGATTTATTCTAGTCTATTCGAAAAACCCAACAAGAATAAAAACACCTCAAAATTTATCAAACCTTAAGATCTGTACTTATTCAAACAACTAGACACAAACGTTGATAGAAATCTATATTCTTATTTATAAAAATTAAGAAAATGCATATTTAATTCATTGTGAAAAAAATACAGCAATTCAGCAATTCATAAGTCAGGGGGAAATAGGAAAAGGGAGCGTTACATGACTTATTGAGGTGAATATTCAAAAATAGTAAAACTGCTATATGTTGATTTGTATGTTCTATCAAACTTTGATATATAAAAACTTCTTAAGTATTGGTTTGATCACTATTTTATGTCAAAATCGAATACGGTTGATGTATGTAAGAAATTTAATATACTTTGACAGACGGTAAGATTGAAAAATGTCAAATGCAATTGAAATTCTTCAAATTCACTCATTGTGTATTTTCAAATGATATTTAATTTTGATATTTAATGAAAGCTGATATATTATTCTTTAATTTCATAGCAAATATTTGCTGATCTCTTCATTCAGGAATTAATTATAAGCGTTCCCGTGTTTGATAATGAAAAAGAAAATAACTGGAAAATCACGCTTTACAGCGATTTTACAAAAAAAAAACTGCACCGTGGGAAAACTCTACGATAGGGCTAAAACGATAGTATAATGTATACCCTTTTATCATGTGGATTTTCAGCTGTGAGGTATTTCGGTCCATTAAACTCTTAAAATAAGCGTCTTTTTCTCGATTTGTCTTTCCACTATAAACAACCAGCGGCAAACTGTTGATGCGCATATAAGTAAGAAATGAATGCAAACACTGTATTGTAAAGGGAAAATAAGCTGAGTCGGATCTTTCCGTGCTGGATCACAAAGTAACGGTCGCCAAATAAACATATCACCCTTCTCGGTCGTATTAGTTTCACTGCGAGCTAACTAGTCTTTGTTCTTATTCTTAAATTCTGTGACCTTGGCCAAATAAAGACAAATACAAATTTAGCAGATTAGAATAACAAGGAAACTCTTCAATAAAATTTTGATCCGATTTATCTATGTTCTGAATAATTCTGAACATCAGTTTTAGGGAAATGCTTGTGTCTCTATGAATCTTGATTTGAATGAAAAACGTTATAGACAAATCATTCAGGCTTTCATGATACTTTTGAATTTATTTTAAATGAAAAGAAGCGTAGATCGTCAAAATAAGGTAAAGACTTTTGACCGTTCCAGTTTTTTTTTACTGATATAAAGGCTATGTAATTTGGGGAACACATAGTTACATATTCCAATTCTCATCAGGTAACAGTCCTAGAAATTTGATAATGTATTACCCGTGTGTATCAGTTTTAATGTTTATTTCATTTTCTGATACTGAAAAATGAATGCATTGTTTTTCCTTTTAGACAATACACAGTACGTTAATCCAATCTAAAACTTAATATTATTAAATCCTAAATTGGCTTTGCAATTGACACAGATATTGTTTTGTTTTTGTTTTGATTGAATTGCTTGTCCTATATGCTTGATTTCACTCGGTGTCGTATGGTGTCAGAATACATTTTGTAAAATGTACATCTAAACATAACAAGTAGAAAACTGAATCTTTTTCGTGTGTCTTTTAAAATTTTAAAATTACATTATATATTGTGCACGAGTTATTCATTAAAAATGAATTTTATTAACAAAATTTCATCAAACTTTATTTGAATAACAATTTTTTTTTCAATTGCTCTTACAATAACCATAATTTTAATAACCAAGACCAACCTTTGTTTTTCTGGGGTGCAGAACATTTAAAAAAAAAATCTATCTGGCGATTGTTTTATGCCCAGTTTAGAAGGAGTTCCATATGGCATACCCACAGAATAAACTGTATTATGTCATTGTGTTTTTTCGTATGGTGGGGTGTCCTATGGAACATTTGCCTCCATTTAAACGCCGGACTAAGCGGCCTACCTATATTTTCGATCGAATCTTTTTTCGAAAACAAAGCGAGTTTGAAAATTATTATGAAAGTTTTCTTTATAAAAAGTTGTCCTTAATACATGGCTATACACGGAAATACATAATGTTGTTTAAAACTTTGTACTTCGACCTAAATTTTGGACATAAGTTTCTCGTAGTTCTAAAAGCAATGATTCAGAGTAAGACAATGTCCATTATATAAGCCAATTTTACAGTGGCAATCTGGCTATATACATGTACATTCTCTTGTCCAATATCAAACAATAACAGACATGAAACTGAGAAGTATTAATGAATTTAGTCCTCAAATGAACGGTTCCTTCCGCAATTCTATGAGCACTATTGTAGAGGTGATATGCAAAGAGGTAGATAATGATGTGCGATCATTTACACATATTTTCCTTTATGTAACTGGTACCTTAACTCATTACTCTGGTGTATTTTCGTTCTTCGGTAATAGTGAAAAAAGCTTACCCGTAAATGGTCTCCATAGTCCACAGGGGGTTCTGTATTCTTGGTGTTCGTGAAATATTCCGATCCTATATAATAATCATCATCTCTGCTCTGATTTCTACTATCATGTCGCCCATACATTTTTTCAGATACTGGTTAACTGGTATGTCTGATCGAATATTTACTTTTTAAATCACCCAGTGGAGCGGTAACAATGTGTGTTCAGAAAATGTTTAAATTTGCGATTATCGTGACTTCATCACAATGAAGTGAAGTAAGCAGACAACTTATGATCTGTAGCTTTGAATTTGTCCTGAAGTCGTGATTAATAATTTGCGTCTGTTATTTAAATTCCTTTTTTAAAGGTTTAAAATAAAGTATGAGTGCTAATTTCTTTTTCTACTTCTTTTTATCAGGTATATAAATAGTTTACTATTTCATTACATTTATAAAACAGTATGTCTTCAAATCGTTTCATTATTTATTCTTCTGTTAAATTGTGATATTCGCTACGTTAAGTCCCGAAGAAACTTGAAAGATTCTCTGATTCTGATATCAGTTTTTTTATTGTTTCTTTAAGGGGATTTTAAGCATCTAATAAGCAATCATTGTTTCTGTTACCCTTGGCAAAAGTTTTTACTTAAAATTAGTATATTTCATAAGGAACAAGAAAGGCTAGAATTTTCATATCAAAACAAACGCGTTGTCTTTTTGCTTCACTATAAAAAAAAATGACAGAAAAACTCAAATCTAATGGCGAAAAGATTATGCATTTATGATTAATGACACTTTCAGAAATATAATTTTAACAATTTATAAATATATATATTATGAAATATAATAAGTAAAACACATAATCTCATTGATGCATAGCATTCACAACTTACAACAGCAAAACTGACAGATTTCTTTCAAAACAAAAGGGAAAAAAGGGGGGGGGGGGGCGGCATGGCGAAGAAACCTTAATAAAATAGATATCATACACATTCAAAATCTCTTAAATGCGCTTAAATGATAATTATATAATACTCTCTGAAATTATATATGTATGTGTATATTGTACAAAAGGTTTAAAATCTAATGAGACCTCCAAAGGTTGACCTGGTGAGTTTTATGAATAGGTAAATAATTAACTGATCAAAATGACCTTATAAAGCAACAGGAACAGACTTTTGAAAGGTATAAATTATAATTATAACATAAATACTTGTTTATTCAATTTTTTGTCTAGTTTGGTCTTTGTGTGTGTGCAGAATCAGTCAACGAAATGGTTCCTGCCGGTGGCCCCTCGTTTCGCTTTTCAATGTTGACATAGTTTCTGTAATAGTTATACACTGAGGTATAGGTGTGTCTGGATAAGAGGCTCCGGCCGTCGGGGTTTCTTATCCAGACACACCGTATCCCGAAGTGTATAACTAACTTACACCCGATGCTAAACCCTATATTTGTTTACATTGAATATTAAATGAAAAAGAAGGGATAGCACTTTTTTGACAATATCAAACCATGATTAATAAGAATTTTTTTCAAATGAAACCCCACTAGTAACCTTACTTTGACGGTCTTCATTCGAACTTTGACAAGTGAGTAGATTTGACAAATGTAAAAGTTGCCGTTTTGCATATTCCCGTTAAATCCATGTGCTAATATGGATCAGCAGGTCAAGGTTGGCCATATCGTGCATTCTTAATACAAAAAAAATACATCGTGCGCCTTGTATGCAGTTGTCAATATGGACGGGTATGAGACGGACGACATTTTGAGTCAGGCGTTGGATTTGGCAGAAGAGTCTAAAGATAACGCAATAGTTATAACCCATAAAGGTAATCATAAATTTATTTTACATGTAACTTACGGTTTTATAAAAAAAAAAGCCCCCCCCCCCCCCCCACCTCTTCTCAACATTAAAGAAACAAACATTCATTTCGAACATACTGAGGAATAGGTGTGTTTGGATTAGAAACTGGACGACCGGACACGCTTAACATACAAAAATACAGATTGCAAATGTAGGAACCCCCTGTTTTGGGGGCAATCCAAAAGGGGGGGGGGGGTTCCGAACGTTGGAATCCCCCTTTTTTACGATCAATTCTTTTGAATGGGGACATAAGCCTGGAACACCCCCCCCCCCCCCCCCCCCCCCTTATCCTGGGTTGGCACCCCCTTTTAAAAATGGCTGGATCCGCCCCTGGGTGCCATCATTATCTTCAACAATCTAAAAATTAATAAATTTATTTTTATGATTAAGACTTAGTCTAAATGTAAACTATATGTTTTAATATATAATTTACATAAAAGTTCCAGGAGTATTTAAATGATTTGCTTTATTCAAAATAGATGGTAAAGATTTTTTTTGCTATTGGCATTTCCTGAAATATGTTTTTTTTTTAATTTGTCTTGAAACAACTTGTAGTGAACACTTCGTAATGTCTTGTGTTCATGCTATTAAAAAAACCAATTCATATTGTTATGAATAACAATGGACTGTGTTTTCGGGATGTAGAAGCAGGGGTTTCCAGAAACCCCACTCGTCATACCCTGTGGTCAAAATCCATTGTTATTCGTTAAAATAGATCTATTCAATTTACACTTGTTTCAGAAATATAAACTGTGAATTAAGTATAACAATAGAACTGGGGTGTAATTATAATAACTGAAAATGCTTAGCTCATGCGTAACCACGTCTCCAGCTAAGGGTTAAATTGAAGGTCGCATGAATACGGATTCAAAAGAGGTTGAATTATTGACAAGCCAATAATACATCAGCTATGTTTTTGAGCTTATTTTGATAAAATTGAACCAAGTTTACTGCTAATAGCGAACTATTATTTCAAAATTCCGTTTTCATAAATGTTTGAAGCAAAAAAAAATTAAAAAATTTAATTTTTCGTCTATATCGTAAAAGTCGTTACAGTACGTCAGCAAAGCGGAATGTGGCTGTACATAATTTTAATTTGCATTTTCATTAATCCATAACGCTATATAATTGATTTTCATTGCTATACTTGTATAAATAACTATGTACTGGCTTCAATTTCGAGGCTGCACAAAACACCTTATAAATATAGATTTATTTCGTCTTCAAGCTATTATCCCACTACTATCTGTATATTCTACTCACTAGTACACTTGGTACAATCAAAAACTTATAAAACATTTTTCAAATAAGTTCTACGAAAATAGTGGAATTAATCACTTTTGGAGTGTCAAAAATTCGTTGGAAGTACTTGATAAATTGCATGCTCATATTGGTGATTTCGAATCTGTTCAGTTTTCATTTTTCTACGCTATATACTACTTTAACTCATAATCTCATTAAGAAAAATTCACATACCTAATTAAATGGGCATTTAAAAAGTCAGAATGTGAATATATACAGTCCGCCAAAAGTTAAGCACCACCTAAATGTAAATGTCAATATTTTTTTAACTACTTGTATTGCGAAAAAAAATATTTATGTTTGATGTCATAAATTGCCTATAGCATGCACTAAGAAAATTCATTACGACCACAAATATTAAACTCCGATATACCCGCCATGGAACCTTTTATTAAAGGTCATCTGCACTTTTACAAATACACTGTTTCGATGCCTTTAAATCATCTTCCTACTGTCCCGCGTACAGGTGAAATTTGACCTTCACCAGGTCACTGTGAAATATGGCAAGCGGTAAGCTATCTGTCACTGAACGTTGACAAAAGAGATGATTTCAGCTTCCCAATTGTGAACTTTCCATTTCTATGTAGCAACATTCCAGCAGCGCCTGCATACGGAGTATATATCTCCCAATTGATAATAATAATAATAATAATAATAATAATAATATCTTTATTTAGAGAGAGTAACTCATTTGGATTACACCAATTTTCAATAAGGCTCTCTTAATTCAATAATAATTACATTAAAGATAAACAATACATATTCAATAATAATGATAAATAAAGATGTAATACAATTCAAATACAATAAACAATTATTATATATGGCATTACAGTACAAATATCATGGTAATGTTAATAGTACATAGATTTGTAGTTATGTTTAAATTCTAATACTGTGTTTGATTTTTTAATTGAATCAGGAAGAGCATTCCATACTTTTGGTCCATTGTACGAGAAACTAGACTTATACAACTCTGTATTTGGTTTTGGAATTATAAAATTATCTGAGGACGAAAATCTCGTATTGTATTTTTGGTTTGCAGAAGCTGATACAATAAGACTGGACATATATTCTGGAGCTAAGCCATGTTTTGCCTTATACATTAGTAATGATTTATGATAATGTATTCTTTGAGTAATCGGCACAATGTTATATTCGTGAAATAATTCGCTTGAAGGTTTGGTGTAATCATGTTCGTCTAAAATTATTCTTGCTGCCCTCTTTTGCAGTTTTAGTAAACTATCTAATAGAAAGTTATTACAGTTTCCCCATATTGAACAACAATAATTTAAGTGAGGTAAAACGTAAGCGTTATAGAACATTTGTCTAGCTTTGTGATTTAAATATTTCTTTATCCTTTTTAGTAAAGCTAAAGAAGAGTTAACCCTTTTTATGATATAATCAATATGAGAAGACCAAGATAGAGATACATCAACAAAAATACCTAGAACCTTTTCACATGTACTTTCTTCAATTTGTTGTCCATTCATAGCAATATTAATGTTTTCATTTGAAGTAGCTGAAAGCTTCTGTTTAGAGCCAATACATATAGCCTTCGTTTTAGATACATTTACAGCCATTTTATTGTCATCACACCAGCTAAAAATATCTTGTAAAACCGTATTAAGTTTATGACTGATACAACTTTTGTTTTGTCCAATGACTGATATGGTGCTATCATCAGCAAATAAATTGGTGTTATGATTAGGATTAGACAAAGGAAGATCATTTATAAAAATTAAAAACAACATGAGGTACACCCGTTTTTTTGTTTTTGTAAGTCTGAAAATGTATTTGAAATAGATACCATCTGATATCTGTCAGCCAAATATGATGTAAACCATCGTAGCGAAGTATAAGCAAATTTGTATTTGTTTAATTTTTGAATAAGCAGTTCATGATTGAGAAGATCAAAGGCTTTTGCTAGATCTAGAAACACTGCCCCAACAAGATGGCCATCATCAATGGCTTTAAGCCATTTATCCAATAAAGCTGTTAACGCAGTTTGACAA